AATTGGACAACTAAAAATATGTAGAAAAAATTAGCCGGGCATGGTGGCCCATGCCTGTGGTCCCAGCTACTCGGGAGGCTGAGGCAGGAGGATCGCTTGAGCCCAGGAGTTTGAGGTTGCTGTGAGCTAGGCTGACGCCACGGCACTCTAGCCTGGTGTCTCAAAAAAAAAAAAATTAAAATTAAACAGAGAAAGCTAAGATCTGTGGTGAATAATATTCATATGGTCATACTAATGTTCACCCTGTTTATTTTCAGCTTTCACAATGATTCAATAAAAGACTAACTGGTTACAGGATAGAATTTAAGAATTATCAGACTTAACAATGTCAGAGACAGGGAGGTGAAAAAGGGGAGAAAGGAAGGGAAGGTGCATCCAACATCTTACAAAATGGGGAACTGAGATACTGTTATAGTTAATACAGTAAAATCACATATGTAAGTATAATAATCATTTGATTATAGAATTTTTGCTCCTTATAGAAAATATGAAAATTACTAAAAAATAAACAAAAAACTCTTTTAATCACCCACAATTCTATTACCCAGAGGACATGGGTTTGAGTTTAAGTTCTGGAATTTACCATCTATATGGCTGTGAACAAGTCATTTAACCACTTATATTTTATCTCCTTCAGGAAACTTATCTATATACTTTTTAATAGTATACACGACATGAAACAGAAACATTATATGAAAACTGTATTATATACACAATTTAATTCAGATTTTTTTCACTTTAAAGCATAAAGTAAAACTCTGGACACATGGCATATCATGCTCTTGTATACATCTAAACATACTTTTCAGTAGTCCCAGACATAGGGCAGTCAGAGGTTTCCCATGGATGGGACTTGAACCAAATCTCAAAAGAATCCAAGGGCTAGGAAAGTAGAGGGGTGGGCAGTGGTGGTGAGGTACTATAGGCATTGAAGGTGTGAGCAAAGGTATGCACGTGCCTCTAGGCAGCAGTAAAAGGTGCATGGAAAGTGAAGAGTTGAGGCTGGAAAGAGATCATGAAGAGCTTGGTAAATCACGTTAGGGGATCCAGACATTTTTGCCATGACAGACATGAGAATAGGGTTAGTAGACCTTGCTTGCTCTGGCACTCCAGAATCTACCACGATGTTTGCCACAAAGAGAACACATAATCTTTTCATAATGATGCTTATGAAGCCAGAAATGCCTCCCAGGTAGTGGGAATAATGCCATCATCTGGTGAGAGAGAATCCAGGAGAAGCAAAATTTAAAAGGTTATGTGTCTAGGCAACATTCTTAGAGATTCCATAGTCTGACTTCATTTTTAAAAAATATCACTGTTGATTATGTAGTGCATCCTCAGGTGAGACTTTAGGCCCTAGAGGATCCATGCATTGGCTTCAGGTAGCCTGCATGACCTCCCCAAAGAGCCCAAAAATTAAATGTGCAATGCATATTTTTCAGGGAGAGGATCCACAATCTCCATCACATTCTCAAAGGGGCTGCAACCCCAGAAAGGTAAAGCACACCGAATGGAGGGGCAAGTGGAGAACTGACAGAAGTGAGAGAGAGACAACTGCCTGGGTTAGGGAGGGAGGGGACCCAGAGCACAGAGGAAGAATTAGCTTTGCCCAAAGTTACCACTTCTTGAGTCTGGAGGAATTCATGGCTACTCGTGTTTAAGAGTAAGAACTTAAGATGGCAGGCATCTGTGTGTGTGTGTGTGTGTGTGTGTGTGTGTGTGTTTGGGGCTGATGATGTCCTGTGCTCCCAAAGCAACTGTACGTGATTATCAGTTCTGCATCACTGTGCTCCACTTAAATACTTATCTGTTGATCTCATTTGAAGACGAGGGCAGATTTCCTGGCCCTTACTCTTACTGTCAATCACTAGGCCTGGCACAGAGCTCTTTGTCTGATGGCTATGTCTGACAGCTCTTAGCAACTTAGGAAAGTGGGGTTTTGCAGTTCCCAACTACTCCTAGCAAGACCAGCCAAGGGAAATGGGAGATGGCCCAAAACAACAGCCAACTCTGAAAAAGGGCGGCCACTCCTCCATATTAGAAGTCATGAAGAAAACAGTGGGCTGTGATTTATTTTGAGGGCTAGAATTGAACCGGGAGAGAGAACTGTCATTAGCTGGGGAGGATCTGATCTGTCAAGTCGTCCACTTGCCTCACGTGATTTATGCAGGATCAGAGGTCCTGAACCTGGGTACTGGTTTGTGGAAACCCAGATTTGGAGATGAAGTATAAGTAGAAATGTAAAAAGTCATAACACATACATAAAAGCATGTTATGTAAAACTTGGTTTGCTCATATAAATAAAATGTTTGGTATGCTCACTGAAATACAAACAAGGTAAGTTAGGTCACAGAACCCTAACATCTAAGGGTTGTCAGGGGCACTGAAGGACATCAGTCTAGCCAACGTAGATTAAGTGTCCTGTTTTGATGAAACATGCACATACAAATCCTTATACTGGAGCCCCGTCCACCTTCGATCACTCACATTTTGTTTGCAGACTTCACCTGACTTGCAGTGACTCATAACCTTGCCTGCACATTACAATCCCCTCGAGTTTCAAAAAGTACTGAGGCCTAGGAATGGAAATTTTTAAGTGTCCCAGGTGATTCTAACACGAAACCAAGGTTTAAAACCACTGCTTTACTGCAAGGTTAGGTCAGTGATCCCCAAACCTATCTTTGCATTAGAATCACCTGGGTAGCTTTTCTGAACTACCTATGAATGGAAATCTTTAATTAGGAAATCACAATCATCTATGACTCATTATTCAAGTAGGAGGATGAATACATGATGTGAAGCGAAAAGTTTAACTGGCTTAAAGGTCACAAATCCCAGCTACTATGATCTTTCAGGGGAGTATACTTTTGGTCTCTTGGTGGGTCAAGGTCACAGAGTTATCTCAAATCTTCAGACCTACTGTTCTGAGCTTCCTGATCACACAGGGAAAAAACCTTTTTTTTTTTTTTATTTCAGGGTATTATGAGGGTACAAACATTATGGTTACATTTTATGTCTTTGCCTCACCTGAGCTAGGGTTAAAGGCATGCCCTTCCCCCCTACAATGCTCCCCGTGTCCTTTAGTTGCGCGTTTACCCTCCCCATCCCCCTAATCCCTGGAG